AGTTTCCTTACGATTGATAGATTTGACGGTGACTGGATGACCAATTTGACGGTGGCTGGGACTGGGTAGTATGGGTGGATATCAATGCAGACTCGACGTAAGAGCGAGAGATTGTGTCTGCTGCTCGATGAAATCGCACGCCAACTCTGTGATTAAGTTGTCTAGGGTTTGTCTTGATTTGTAGCTGTTACTACTTGTATGTCGTGTCTAACTATGTAAGATTGAACTTGTAGTTTTCATGAAATTAATTACATTATGTTGGCACTTGCTGCAATACCATATTACCTTGCTTATGAATTGTTTGATAATATGCTGTCCATATATGTGGATTTGTGTCTGTCTCTTTGAACTGCCGTTTATTCATGTTGCGTTTGTATTTTGACTCCAAGGAGCTGATATGTTCAGTCACTGTTTTAATCGTTATTCGGTAGTTATATGGTTAATATGCCTAATTTTCATGGCATGATGCTACCTCGTCTTTTATGCTTATTGATTTAACACATCAGTAGCTGTTCTTGTATGATTTATGAGAAGTCGCTCATAGAAGACCTAGCTAAGTAGGCAGATCACATGTTTTGTTGCTTTGGTTAGGTATACACATTTTTCTCCTAATTTTGATGCAGTTCTGGTGCCTTATTGTTTCTTGGAAAACAGACAACTAGAGTGTGAAGGCCATTAGGAGGAAGACCACCGGCACACGGAGGATGAGGTACCTTCGCCACGTGCCACGGAGGTTCAAGAGCAACTCCGTATCTGGCCCCGTTCGACTTATCCTATATCTGGCTTGTTCGGCTTCTTTTTTCATCCGGAACAGTGTTTTTCTCTCATAACATTTTAGCCAGAACAGTGTTTTTCAGCCAAGATTCAGCAAGCCGAACGGGGCCTAGAGGGTAAATTCCTGTTCTCTTTTCTTGTGACATCCAGTGGTCCACCCTTTGGTTTTTTGACATTGAAATGCTAAACTCCTGCCCTGAAAACACTTTTCAGGAACCGAGGCCGTATCAAATAAGAAGGGAGCTGCTGCTGGCGCCAACTAAATCTGTTATGCACTTATGCTAAACTGGGCTGTGGGTCAAGAGACTAGTGTTCCTAAATTGAGAGGCGAACGATGCTTGGTTATGTCATTTCATACCCTGTATGTTAACCCTTGAGTTTTGAATATTGAATCGTACAGATTGTTAGTGTCCAGAGTGTTAGCTTTGTCACCCTGTTTACAGAATTGTCTACACATGCCTTTGTGATTCTTTTTGGTTAGCATAATCTTCATGAATCTCCTGTGATGTGATGGTTATGCTTGTTTGAGAAGCTGAGAGTGCATTTCCAATGACTTTTTTGTTTGCAAGGGTTAACTGTTAAAATTGGTGAAACTGTAGCATGGCTGGCTGTCGAAGGTGCTGGCTTAGCTGGTACTAATAACTGTTACAACGCCAAATATGCAGCATCTGCGCTGTGGCCAACTCTGCAAGCAGCCCAAACTCGTCTCTGACCTCTCCTATAATTTTCCCTTAACCATAGCCGACCGTACCCCGTCTGGTAATAACTGATGTTTCTTTCTTCGTTGGACACCTCCATCCCCAGCCGGCGGGATGTCGCCGCCGCCCGGCAACGTCGACGAATCCCTGTCGTCACCATCACGGCCTCCACCGTCCTCCCCGTTGCACCTGCTTGAGGTGACGGTCATCTCGGCGCAGGACCTGCACCGGCGGCGGCTGGACCGCCGCGTGCGCGCGTACGCCGTGGCGTGGGCGGACGCGGGGCACAAGCTGCGCACGGGCGTGGACCACGCGGGCGGCGCCGTCCCCACTTGGAACGACCGGTTCCTGTTCCGCGTCGACGGCGCCTTCTTGCGCTCCGACACGGCGGCGGTGACCGTGGAGGTGCGCGGCACGGGCGGGCTGGGCGCGGACCCCGTCCTGGGCGTCACGCGCATCGTGGTGAGCACGTTCGTGCGCCCCGGTGGCAGCGTTCACGGCCCGCAGGTGGCGGCGCTACAGCTCCGGCGGCCGCGTTCGCTCCGCCCGCAGGGAATCGTCAATGTGGCCGTCGCGCTGCTGGACGCCGCCCGCGCGCCGCCGCTCTACGGCGTGCCGGGCTCGCCCGACGCCGTCGCCGTCAAGGACCTCGCGATGAAGCGCCCGGCGTCGCTGTGCAAGGTCGGCGAGGTCAGCGAGGAGCCGGGTGTGGACGACGGCCAGCAGGCGCGAAGCAACCCGGAATTGGTCGGTCAGTCCGGGCACCTGGACCCCAGAGGCGCCGCCGTGGAGCAGAAGAAGCTGGAGCTGACGCTGGAGAGGTGGAAGGCGGAGCTGTGGCCTGGCCTCAAGGAAGGCCGACGCAGTGGCAGGCGGAGGCGGCGCCGGGCGGCGTCCTGCTTCCGGGGCAGTGGCGACTGGGACAGGTAACAATGATCGCATGGAGCAGTGGAGCAGGATGCACGGCTACGGAGAGGGACGATGCATGGGCATGTAAAAAAAACTGTAAATTTTCAAGATTTTTTTAGGTTTGCAGCAGTGATTCGGCTTCATTACCTGTTTAATTTAAGTAAATAGTAATGTAAAACCCTTGCAAAAAACAATAAAAATGGCCGTCATGACTCCTCGTTAAGAGGAAAAACCATAGCAGGATATTGTTTTCTTTCTAACTAGGAACAGTAGTCATATTCATCGACAATGGATGATACAAAACATCACAAGCATCAACTCCCCGTGAGATGCATACAGTAGCTGGGTTTATTTATGCCATTGATCACTCAGTCATTATTGGCGCTTGCAATCTAGGTTTATTTATTACAAAGACCAACAGTTAAGCATTCTTACATAGTTCGGGCCTAAAAAAACGATACACAGAGCGGAACCTAGTGACAACTAAAACAAGAAGAACTGACAAAGAGCGCCAAACTACATCCCCAGGCTTCACCGAGACCCGCAAAGCTGATCCATTTCCCTTCGAACGTCGCCTTCTCCGTATCATTATCATCGACCAGCAGCGCCTTGGCTTCTTCCGGTAACACGGTGGTCTTCCAACACAACCGTATAAATGAATGTGCATGAAGCTAGCTAGCTAGTACCAGGAGTGCATGCTGGCCTGCCCTGTGTGGCTGTCGGTGGGGCCGGGTTGACCCATGGGTCCCCAGCTGCCAGCCCCTTAGAGTGTATAAACCGGTGCATGTAGCAATAGATAGTGTTTTACCTTTTTTGTTTTTAGTTATTTCTGGGCAAAAAAATGTTGATTTTTTTTAAAACAGCAACATTTAATATACTACGTTAAATCACAGTACAACAGCGTGGGAAAAGAATTCCCAGATTACAGAGCAGGGTAAGTAAAAGCTACTACTAATCTGCTTGTGTAGACATAGGTGATGTTTCCGTCGGGGACGCAGGGCCCACGAGAAGTGGTCATGATAAAAACATCGAGGGTCCTCGTTCTCGCACTCCGATAGCACGGCCGGCGCTCCCTCAACTGTTTGATCGACCTCTGTCTTTGAGGATATGTTTTCCTGAGCCGTAGATGAGAAATAGGGTCCACCGGGCTAAAAAAAAGGGTTCGTAGCCATGAGTGTCAAATCTGAGGACCTTGATCAACTCTGGTTGGCGGTCAATCTGGACACCAAAAGCTACTTCCCCACTTTCATGTCTGCAGAAACACTCGTCGATTTGGAGGAAACACCCGGCAGCCACCATGACTGCAGCAGTCTCGCCCACCTCTAAGAAGACAACTGTGAGAAGGACTAGAGTCCTCAAAACGCCCATCAAGGGCTCTTATTCCAGTAGGGAAACTCTACAGGGAGAGAGGGAGGGGGGAAGGGGAACCGGCCCACCAACCCTCAATATATATGCACGCCTCTCACGTCCCAACATTTGACTTCAAATTCGAAAAGCCTTTCGAATTTTTATTGTGTGCACGCGAATTCTTTTGATTCGAGATATTTCTACAATTTTCTCCCCTTTTCCATTTTCAATATATTCTATTTACTCAGGCCACGGGAAAAGACTAAACTGCCCTGTCTATTCTCGGAAGCATTCATCGGACTCGTCTCAACTGCCGCAGGCTCCCTCCTCTGCTCCCACGGGCAGATAACTGTAGCAGACGTTCTCCCCCACCGACTCCCTCCTCTGTCTCCCATGCCCATTTGGAGCCACGCACAGTCTTCTCCAGCGCCAGCCTCGGCCTGCCACCGGCCGTCCACCCACCGCCACGTCGCCGTCCACTCGGCACCCAACGCCGACCTCTCTCCCCCATCGGCCCTCTCCTCAGCTCCCTCGTCCCTTCGGAGCTGCCCGACATCTAGGTTTTGGGGAGAGTGGTTGCACAGTCGCCCCTTTGCCCCTCCACCGGCGTTTGGGCGACGGCGTCGCCCTTCCACCGGTTGGCAAGGAAGCCGCGCGGACCGAGGGGCGAGGTGGGGGGTTCATCTGGATTACCTGGTAGGAGGCGAGGGTAATTTTGGCCTTTTCCCGTGCGTTTAACAATGATGAGAAACTATTGAAAATCGAAAAGTAAAGAAAATAAGAAATCTCTCATATCAAAAGAATTCACGTACACAGGGTTAAATTCCGAAAAGCTTGCCAGTTGGATGTCAAATGTTGGTATAAGTATTGAGAGTTAAATATCAAAATTTCTCCAAGAGCAAGGGGGTGTGAAGATGGCACGGCGGAGAAAACATTAGGCTTGGAATAAGCAGGCGATAAAATGAGCGTAGGGCCTGAATAACGTTCCAAAAAAGATGTGAATCTTTGAGACTGACTTTGTGATGCTAGAAAGAACAAAATAAAAAAGTTTTTAAATAGAATCTTATTATGACGTACCCACATCAAGAACCACACAAACGAGCCCACGTGTCAACGGCTCATGTTAACCCCGCCACTTATCCCCTCCCACTGGCTGGCCTCGCGCCCCTCCACATCACAACGCCAGCTGCTCCCTCTCCGTTGCCTCGTTGCCAGGCCGTGGCCGTGGCCGTGTCCGCCGCCTCCCTCCCGCTCCTCCGGCTCGCGGGAACCATGGCCAACTCCTGCCTCTCCACCGCCGCAGTGCACTCGGCGCTGCGCCTCCTGGCCGACGCCGCCGGGGCGCTCCAGCTCCAGCTACATCACGCGTCGTCATCAGTGTTTCCGCGCCCGGCGCGCGCGCACCACCGGCTCGTCGCCGCGCCCGCGGTTCCCGTGCATAGGAGGCGCGCGCTCGCGGTCACCGTGATGGCGTCGCAGGAGGAGGCCGCGGCCATGGCTGTCGAGGAGTTGGAGGAGTTCACGGAGCGAGAGGGACAGTTGCAAGAGCAAGACGAAGGGCAGGAGGAAGGTGGAGCCGTCGAGGCTAGCTCGGATGACAGCGTCCCGTCGGTGGCCGCAAGCACCACCACCACCAAGCTCTACCTCGGGAACCTGCCGTACAACTGCGACAGCGCGCAGCTAGCCGCAATTGTGCAGGAGTACGCCAGCCCGGAGATGGTTGAGGTACGTGGTGCAGTGTTTGCTCAAAATCTGAATACTCATTTAATTCGAAACTCGAATCTTAGTCTATTTCGCATCGCCGAAGACTCATGTCTTAAGACAACTGTTCCTACTAGATCAAACAAGTATTTGAGCTGTGACACATTCAGGTTGCTCAAGATTGGTTGATTTGATCTTAAAACTTCCATGCTCAGGTGTTGTACGATCGTATCACGGGAAGAAGCCGAGGGTTCGCCTTCGTGACGATGACCACGGTTCAAGACTGCGAGTTGGTCATCAAGAACCTCGACGGCAGCGTAAGTATAATGCTGATGCCAGCCACACACATTAACATTACTGCTAGCACCACTCTACTGCATTCGTTTATGACGGGTTTCGGTCGATCTCATTTCTCCGATCGACCAGCTGTACGGTGGCCGGACGATGAAGGTGAACTTCGCCGACCGACCGAAGCCGAAGCTGCCGCTGTACCCGGAGACGGAGCACAAGCTGTTCGTCGGCAACCTGTCGTGGACGGTCACGTCGGAGATGCTCACCGAGGCGTTTGGACGCTGCGGCAACGTGGTCGGCGCGAGGGTGCTCTACGACGGCGAGACCGGCCGCTCCCGGGGCTACGGCTTCGTCTGCTACTCCACCAGGGAGGAGATGGACGAGGCTATTTCCTCGCTCAACGGAATGGTACGTACGATACGAGATGTGTGAACAAACTGTCAGCAATCCCGGCGTACACCAACGTCCGTCTATCACCTTCAACGGCAGCACAATGCACACACGCGAACACAGTGGAACGATAAACACACAAGAGTATTTTTGGTGCGACGAACTGGTCGCTTTTCCGGACTCTATTGAATGCATATATAGAATATCAACTCCTACACAACCGGTGAATCGATCACGGCATGCGCCATCCCACACACCCACGACACCACGGTCCTCCTACAAGCTCGGCATGCCCACCATCCGAACGTGCCATTCCACGTCCAGTGAACACGCCCAGCACTCCCTACAGACGCGCCCCATGTGAACGACGCGCATGTCAGGCTCCCTACAGACTCGCTCAGCCAAACAAACTGGTGAGCTTATTTCAACCGTGAACAAGGAAACCGAAAATAGCTTGACAAGCATTGCACAGGATTACTCAACATTTCTCCTCCTAATTCTTGCGCTGTGCTTCAAGCTTGACGACGCCAATGCGATCACGCTGCTCTTGGAACAGAACACGACCCAAAGACTTCGTCAGAACATCTGCTAACTGATCTTTTGTAGAGATCTGGTCCACCACAACTTTGCCCTTCTCAACACAATCTCTGATATAATGAAATTTAGTTTCAATGTGCTTACTTCTATCATGATGGACTGGATTCTTACAGAGATCAATTGCTGATTTGTTGTCAATCTTGAACCGCACCCCCAACCTCCAAACCAAGCAGACTCCTTAGTAGCCGTGCAAGCCACACTCCACGGCAAGTTGCACCAGATGCAGCAATATACTCTTGCTTCACATGTAGAAAGTGCCACCACCTTACGCTTATTGGAGTGCCAAATGTGATGTATGTCTCCTAGACAAAATAACATCCCACCGGTGCTTTTCCTATCATCAATATCCCCAAAGATAATCACTATCATCAACCTCATTAATTGAACACCAAGACTTCCCTGCTCTCCTACTTTATAGAACAAACCATACTCCAATGTACCACTCACATACCGATGATGTGTTTCACTACTCGCCAAGTGATCTTCATGTGGTTGTTCTAAAACCCGACCTACAAACCCCACTTGCAAAGGCAATATCGTATGCGTGTGTTCACGGATACCGAAGTCCCCCAACTGCACTTCGATATTCAGTTGCATCCGCCAAAGGTGCCTCACCGATTTTACTCGGTTTGAGCACTGGACTCCATTGGTGCTTGCACAAGCATTACATCCTGTCAAGCCAGCCTTCTCTACAAGTTTTGCTTTGCATAAGCGGCTTGTCCAATCTTGATCCCTCCTTGGTCTCGCCTCACCTCCAACCCCAGATAATAAGACAATGAGACCTAGATCACTCATCTTGTAAATCTTCATCATTTCGACTTGAATTCCTTGATGCTCAGTGCTTCCCAGTGATGATCGGATCATCCACATATACTCCCACAATGAGTGCTGCTCCTCCAGTGCCCCAGTGTAAACACCATGCTCAGCTATGTTTTTTCCGAACCCAAGTGATAGAAGGTCATATCCAACTTCATGTTCCACGCTCTTGGCGCTTTGCCTCGAGCCATACAAGGCTTTCTCCGGTTTCAACACCTTGTGCTCTTGACCTGCCTTAACAAATCCCACGTGGCTGTACCACATACACCTCTTCACTCAAGATACCATTCAGAAAGCGCTTTTTACATCCATGTGATGCACTTCCCATCCTTTATGAGCAGACTATGGTCGGCAAACTCTGACAGACTCCAACCTTGCAATCGGAGCAAAAACTTCATCAAAGTCAATTCCTGTCTCTCGCACATATCCTTTAGCAACCACCGTGCTTTTGTGCTTCACCAACGCTCCATGCTCATCACGCTTGACTTTGAATACCCATTTCAACCCAATTGGTGAATGTCCTGCAGCGAGATCAACAAGGCTCCATGTCTTGTTTTCTTCAATCGATTTCATTTCCTCCCTCATAGCTTGCTTCCAAATGAGATCTGCTTTCGACTTCCTTGAATGTTGCCGCTCCTCCGCACTTGCAAACATGAGCTCTGCCGCTTCCAAATCTCGCTCGCGGTCCCCCGCACGAAACTTGGCCTCAAAGACATTATCCGGCAACTCAAAAGCGTCTGGCGCCTCCTCGTGGTGGTGCGCATCCACGAAGTCTTGCACGCTTGTTGGTGGAGAAGCAAACTCCACCTGCTTTCGGGTGACATCGGTGTCGCGTCATACCCGGCGGCGTCATCGTGAATCGATGCACCCGGCGTCAAAGGTCGCACCGTGGTCGCCGTGCTTGGTGTCGTGGTAGCCGGGCGTGCTCGGTGTAGCGGGTGCGAGCTCCCTCCACAGTTCCCGTCACCACCACGTACTACTTTGTCACCGTGAACTCCCCGGAGCCGCCGTCGTGGTACTCTCCGCCTCCATCGTCCTCACGTCCTGCGCTCCAGTCCCATTTCGCCTCTTCGTCGAAGATGACGTCGCGCGCCACGTGCACGCGCCGCGCCACCGGGTCGAACACCCGATACGCCTTGGCGCCCGGTTCGTAGCCGAACATCACCATCCTCGTGCTACGATCTTCAAGCTTCTTCGAGATGTGGCTTCACGTTCTTCACATGAACGACGACCAAAGTGCGCAGTGCTCCACCGTGGGCTTCTTGCCATGCCAGGCCTCGTACGGGGTACGGCCGGCCAGGCTCTTCGTCGGCGCCCGGTTCAGCAGGTACACGGCCGTCACCACGGCCTCGCCCCAGAACACCGCCGGCACCGATCTCCCTTCAAAGCTCCCCGCGCCATCGCCACCACTACGGTTTGATTGCGGCGTTCGACCACGCCGCTCATTAGGTGGTGAATACGGCGCCGCCAGATGACGCCGCACGCCACGACACGCACACCATTCACGAATTCAACAGAGGTGAACTCACCCCATTGTCGGTCGCAAGATCTTCACTTCTTCCCGGTCTCCGTCTCCACCATGGCTTGCCACCTCTTGATGGCCTCCGACGCCTCGTCCTTGCTGCTTAGCAGAGAGATCCACATGTACCTCGACGCATCGTCCACGAGCAACAGGAAATAGCGTCGCCCTCCTGGCGTCGCAGGTGTGATTGGACCGCACAAATCACCGTGAACCAGGTCCAGCTTCTCCTCCGCTTCGGTGCCGCCGCCACCGAACGGTGGTGTCCTCCTCGCTTTGTCGCCACCAAGCAATCGCGGAGCTCGCCGACATGCTCGATGCAGGGCAGCCCGCACACCATCTCCTTGCGCGACAGCAGGCGCAGTGCATCGAAATGCAGATGGCCGTACCTCTCGTGCCAGCGCCACGCCGCCGCGCTGCCAATTTGCGCCACGAGCACACATCAGCTTCACCGCCGTCCAGTAGTAGCGAATCTGACCGCCGCCGCGTCGCTTCACCTTGACCACCGGACGCCTTGCCGCCGGTCCCAGATCCGAGCACTCCGTCGTCGATGTGGATGGGCAGCCTCCCTCGTCCGGTGGCCGAGGCTCACGATGTTCGCCGTGAGCCGCGGAATGTAGTAGACGTCCGTCGACCTCTGGTGCTCCCCATTCTTCGCTGGAAGAGGATGTTCCCCATGGCGATGTCCACCACGATCCATCCCCAAATTTCACCGTGCCTCGAACGCCGGTGTTCAAATTTCGGATGAAGACCTCACACGCCCGTCATGTGATTTGGTAGCCCGGTATCCGGATACGAGCCCGGCGTCGCGGTTGGCATCTCCGTCGAGTCAAGCCATCACCTTCTCCTCCACGAGGTGAACTACGGCGGCCGCGTCTCCACTATCGTTGACCGCCGCCGCCGAGGCAAAGAAGAGGGCGGACCTCCTCCTCCTCGGCCTCAAAGAACGTGGGCGCTGGTTCTTGGGCTTGGTCGGGCACTCCGGGCCCAATGCCCGTCTTCTTCTTGTGGCGGCATTGATCCGCCCAACATCGCCGGAAGCCGACGCCGTCTTCGATCCACCATCCCACGGTGGTCTCGGCCCGAGCTCCTTTCTTCCAGAGCTTGAGCCGCGTGCCCGCGCGCCGCGCCACGGCCATGGCCGCCGCCGCCCGCCCTGCTTGGGAGCCGTGGTCCGCCTTCTTCATCCGTCGGTTGCCCATCGCTCCCTGCGTGGAAGCGGCTTACCGTCGGCACTTGTCGCCGCGCCGGCGTGTCGTCCCTCGGCCGCGCAATCCTCCGCCAAGCCGCGCGGCCGTCCGCCGCGCGTCCTCCGGTGATGATGTGTCGAGATTAGAGGTGATCTCGATTGCGACGGCCGTGCCGCTTCAATGCCTTGGCGCGCGGCGCAGCAGCTTCTCGACGGTCTGCGGCGTCGTCACCACTTCGCCGAGGGTCTCCAACGCCGCCACAAGATTCTCCAAGCGCTTCGGTGAAATCATCGACAGACTCACCGGGCTTGAACTTCATCGTCTCCGGCTCCTTCCGAGAGGCGTTGCGCCTTTACCTTCGCACCGAAGTCGTTCCCGATCCGGCGCTCCTTGATGGCCTTCCACGCTTCAGCGCGCGGACCCCTTAGCCACCAGCCGACGGCACCATCTCCGGTGGTACCCGCTTCGTGATGGCGTCGGCGCCGCTCGATCCTCCCGAACGAGACGTCACCCGGCTCGATCGCCTCCCACATGTCGCGCGCCTCCATCTTGAGCTTCATCCGGTGCCCGCCCGTCGTGTAGTTCGTCTTGGTGAGCATTGGCGATCACGCCCGGCGATTCTACTCGCCACGATCGCGCACCTTCTCCTCCTTGCCGCTGCCGCCCAGCAGCGCCGCCCTTTTTTGCCACGGCGCCCTTCTTCGGAGAGGGTGGCGTGTCGTCGTCGCCGACCATCGAGTCCAAATTACCGAACCTCGGCTCGATACCAATTGTCGTCAATCAATCCGGCGTACACCAACGTCCGTCTATCACCTTCAACGGCAGCACAATGCACACACGCGAACACGGTGGAGCGATGAACACACAAGAGTATTTTTGGTGCGACGAACTGGTCGCTTTTCGGACTCTATTGAATGCATATATAGAATATCAACTCCTACACAACCGGTGAATCGATCACGGCATGCGCCATCCCACACACCCACGACACCACGGTCCTCCTACAAGCTCGGCATGCCCACCATCCGAACGTGCCATCCCACGCCCAGTGAACACGCCCGACTTCCCTCAGACGCGCCCCCATCACGAGCGAGCGCGCATGTCGGGCTCCCTCTGAGACTCGCTCAGCCAAACAAACTGGTGAGCTTATTTCAACCGTGAACAAGGAAACCGAAAATAGCTTGACAAGCATTGCACAGGATTACTCAACACAAACTTGCACACGGCTATCTCTGAAAAAAATATTTTTTTGCAAATCCTGCTGCCTGATTAAGCACATGGTTCAGATGCACCCACTAATGATGCTACCCAAACACGAAAAGAGGAATGGCTTCAGACAAATGTGTTGTGCTGAAATATGTTTGCTTAGTAGTTACTACAGACAACTGAATATTTTTATGGCTCACAGAGACTTGAAAAGGACTGAATTTTAACTGCTCTTTCTTTCTGCTGATTGAACAACGTTTACTTTGTTCAAATGGTGCATTGGATATTGATGAATCTGCAGAAGGTGTCGAGCTGAATGCTAATCTGCACAATGCAGGAATTGGAAGGCAGGGACATCAGGGTCAACTTAGCCCTCGGAAAGAAGTAACAGGGTTCAGATGTGGAGGAAGTTGCAATTGGTATGTGATGGATGTCTCCTCGCAATGCGAGGTTTGAAATGCAACCAAGACGTCGCCGCCTACGAGCACATCGCAGGAGCAGGGAGCACGAAATGTAAATCTTTCTAATCTAGCATAGCGTGGAAATTTTGTTGCCATCTGGTCTGTATTTAGCAAAGACGGTTCATACATTGTGAATTGTGATTCTGACGGTTTTAGGGTGCTGGTTCCTCTGATCATTGGAACACAAGTTTTGTTGGATCCATGCACATTTGAAACTGCTGTTGCTGATCAAAAAAGAAAAAAGAAACTGCTGTTGCTGAAAGAGTTGATAGCCTCAACCCTCAAGTCTGAAAGCAACAGCGGTATACAATACGTACAAATGATTATCGCAGCACTGACAGTTACTATCTCTCCATTTAAATCAATGACTAGTCCAGAACTTGATGTCACCTCTGCGTTCAGGGGAAGGTCTGGTTCAATTCAAGTTTCAACGGTATTCAGTGGAATACCGCTATTTTTGCCAAACAACTAGTACTTCTGTAAGTTAGCCCTGCTTACGAGCTGTATTTTTTCAGCCAACGAACGGTATTTTTCTCTCACAACAAATCAGCCAACAATACTTTCAGTCATGGCTTATCAGCCAAGCGAACGGGACAGTTAAAGTTACGGTCAAGCCTACGAATGTACTGTAGAATATAATGCTGGATTCTGTGTTATATCTTCAATTTATTATATAATAAGTATTAATTTAGTGATGCTATAATCAATTGCACATGCTAAAACCTAGTCCTTACTCCTTAGGCCCTAAAAAAGAAAACAAATATTTTGCACTTCAAATTTTGAATACCCATCCTTCAAAATCCAAATCCTAGGCCGCCCCTGTCTATGTTGACAGTATCCTGACTAGGGCTTTCAGTTTCAGCGAACTGGTCTCGTTCGGCTTATCCTATATTTGGCTTGTTCGGCTTGTTTTTTCAGCCGGAACAATGTTTTTCTCTCACAACAATTCAGCCAGAACAGTGTTTTTCAGCCAGTTTCAGCCAAGATTTAGCAAGCCGAACGGGGCCAGATTTTTGGTCAAGTAACTGGATGTTCTTTCAAGCTAACAGATTTGATTTCGATGGAATTCAACGGCAGCCATACATAGACAGAGTGAGAGATTTTTGGTCAGGGCAGAAAGAGACAGCGAAGGGAGAGCCACATGTGCTGCTGCATCTTCGTGTGACATGTCCGGATCTCGTTGGCGCCAAGCCGCCAAGAACCACCACCACACCACATCCTGCAGCAGGCAACCTCCGCGCCACTCGCCCCCTGCCTAGTCTCCCCACGGCCTGAGCGACCACCAGATCAAAGCAGAGGTCTCTGCAATCCACCATGGCCGTCTCCATCGCCGGCAGCAGCATCCGCCTCCACGTTGCCACGCCCACTCGCCGCCGCGGGAGCGTGATCACCGCCGCCTCCGCCGCGCGGCTCGACCGGCGCTCGGCGGCCCTGCTCCTGCTCTCCGCGGCGGTTCCAGCGGCATCGGCAGCGACAGCTCCACCGGCGAGCGCCGCGGGCATCGGGCTCTTCGGCATCCGCAAGAAGCTGGAGCGCGCGGAGGAGGCGGCGGCCGAGGCGGTGCGGGAGGTGGAGGAGGCCGTGGAGGAGGCGGCGGCGGAGGCTGCGGCAGTGGGCGGGGAAGCCGTGAAGGAGGCAGAGAAGGAGGCGGGCCAGGTCGCCGGCGAGGGCCTGCAGCTGGTGGCCGGCGCGGAGATCGCCGGGGACGGGCTGGTGCAGGCCGCGGTGGTCGCCGGCGCCGAGGCGCTCGGGGTCGCCGTGGGCCTGTCCGTGGTCAATGGCATCCTGAAGCCCGAAGCGTAGTGCTGGGCCTTGTATTTTTGGCCCAACACGCGTGTGGGCTTTAGTGCTTCGTTGTCGGTGCTGCTGTAATTTGTTGATGACCTTTTTGGTGTAAATGTAAATTAGTAACAATTAGAGTGTCGATTTGGGCAAATAAAAAAAAGTTTGTGGATCCTTTGTTTGTTGAATACTAGACAAATTATAGTTTACAGCATAATCCAAACTTATGATCGTAGAAATGCCTAAAAAACCAATTGCAAACGGTCGCGCTTTTGGCTCACACAAGTATCGGCAAACCGAGCTTAATAGAGGTCACTAAGGTTTGTTTGATCCATGCTCTAAATTTTATACATAAAGTCTCCAGACAAGTGATCTAAAATAAATAGCTTATCTCACATTATAATTTTTTATCTTAAAAGTGAGCTAAAATGCTTTAAAATTTTTAGAGCTCCCTAAAACTGGCCATCTGGCATCGACGCTCGGGAAGAAACAAAGACCACACGCATATCATTTTGTAATCCTTCATTGATGTGTGTGCCACGGGAGAGGGCGGCACATGCAAGCCGGGGCACTTGCATGCGGCCTGAGACGCTCCGGCAAACGTTCGACGCTTGGCTTGGCTTGAAACGCCCAGACGCTTGAACTGTATAAAAATGTTCATGAAATATGTGATTTGCATTGTGATTTTCGACGTTTAAAGAGGCTCTCAGTTATTTAAGCATCGTTTAAATAAAAACAACCATTGCAAGCTAAGACTCTTACATGGATGCTTATTTATTCTTTCACTTTAAGCTTCTATTTAAGCGCCATTGCATTGCACATACCCTAAACGTGCTAATCGACATTTGATACTCTTTCGTTCCAAACTACAAAGTGTTGTTTTAGAATTATATAGTACAACGTAGACGTCCGTAACATGCACGCACACTCACTCCTATTAACACACGTACGTAAACCCTATCCCTATGAGCACCTCCAAAGGACTGAGCCGACAGATCTTGAGATTCACGAAGTCACCACGGGCGTCTCGTTGTCGACGGGGACGTCGCCTGCCACTGAAACACGTAGCGCCGTTAAATTCTGGAATAAATCTAGGAAAATACGAGCACTGGTGTCAAGTCGAGGGCTTGAATCCGGGTGGACAGGTTTTACCACAAGGAACCCAACCAACTGATCTATGATATTTAGCTATATTACTTTTATTATTTACTCCTTCTGTCAAAAAAAATATAATTCTCGATTTTTAAGAAGTCAAATAATTTAAATTTTGACTAAAGTTATAAAAAATACTAACATTTATAACACAAAATAAGTACAATTAATTAATTATAGAATGTATTTTTATAATAAATTTATTTGAAGATATAAATGTTAATATTATTCATTATAAATTTGGCTAAATTTGAACTTGTTTGATTGACACGATTTTTAGAATTATATTCTTTTTGAGACGGGAGTATCAATCTGTCTGAGTATATAAAAAAACTATGTATCCAGAAAAACCAAATTATCTTATAATTTGGAACAAAGGAGTAACGTTGAGGTCTGAAGGATATTTTTGTTCATGTATCCTCAACGTCGAGACCTTACCCGGGCATCTCTATTTTTGCAATGTTGCAGATAGTCTTGCGTGAGCTTGATGATTCCGGTAGTGAGAGAGGTGGGGTGGATTTGCGTCGCCGTCTTGCGTGCGATCTGTTTTGTCGCCGACGAGACGACGGCCCGCGCTTCCATTGGAAGCGAAGAGATAGCGTGGGCCCAACCAGAACTGCCACACTATTCCGTTCGGTTCCTTCCGAAATTACCAACACCACAAGGCAAAATACCAACAGGAAAACGCACACTGCCGTTTCCGAATGGCCACGGCCGTGCTCCGCCGTCCACTGCTCGCCGCGCTCCTCCCCGGCGGCGCCGGGGCGTCCGGGCCCTCCTCCCGGTTCCGTATCCGGCGACGTAGGTCCCCGCCTCCTGCGCGCGCGGTGTCTTCCGACTCCCCCAAACCCGTCGCCTCCACCTCCTCTTCCGCCGGCGGCGACAGCCCCGAGGAGGAGCCGCCTGTCCTGCCGCTCCTCCAGGAGCTCGCGGTAAGACGACGTGCTTCCTCCAGTGTCTAGTCGACGCCGCTATCTGTTCAAAGCCCTAGCTTTTGACTGTTTCCGTGCCATGCGGCTGGTAATTTGGTTGGTTGCAGGATTGCTTGGTTCTTCCGCCTAACTTCCTCGCTCAGCTCCCGCGCGACCTTCGTCTCGACGTAAGTGTCTCATCGTTTTGTTCTAACATCCGCCTGCTTATGCTTGTTCCCACATTTGTCCAAAGTGGAAAAATTCCATTCAGAATATTATGCTCTCTACTAGTGAAAGTATCACTAGTAGCATAGATACTTCAGTAAGCGGTATGCATCACACAACGCCCACACTGAAATCCTACTATCTGGTGGGGAAATATATTTTGTTATAACAGCACTTGTTTTTTTCCTTTGTTGAAGCTCAATGATGCCGCGTTTGATCTCTCCAATGGGCCAGTCCTTGATGAGGTAGGCACCAAACAACTCAGCATTCAGCAATTGGATATATGCTAGATGTTTCAGTTCAACGGCGCAACTGCGCGCGCTTACAGAGCTCATTTCTTTGCTGAGACATAGTGTGGCCAAGAAGTGGGTGATCTGCTCCTGAACCTGGCGAAAGCATGGGAGTTGGCTGATACGTCAACATCAAATAGCATCGCCAAGCAGCTGCCGTCGATGGAGCCCTACTTGACGCGTAGCCAAATCAGGCATGGACTGCATCCATCTATATGATGTTGCCACTTGTCAACATTCAGTACTCGATTGATTGATTGAAGGTTGCGTCCCTTGCTGTTTGCTTTACATAGTGTAGCGTTTGGCAAGCGGCTGGGGTCATCTGGAAGGAGGTTTCAGTCAATGGGGCAGTACGGCCAGGGAGAATTCAAGAAGGTTAGCTACTTGCTCATGCTCTAACCATCAGTTGTGGTCGACCTTGTTCCTGGCTAACGACCTTATTCCTTGTCGATGCTATGAGTGGGATCAGAGATCAAAATGGTTCCACATACCTTTACAAATCTTGTATGCTCTGACCTTACATATGAGTTATATAAAGTTCAGGTCAGCAATCACCTGCCGTAGTTTTGCTAAAAAAATGGTTCCACATAAACATTTTTTTTATAAAAAAAGTTGATTCTAGCATGACAAATATGTCCACTACTTACAGCAAGGCATTTTTTTTCTCTGCATCATTGCTAACTTACCTTGTATTGATTATTGTCAAGAGATTAAACCACAGGGCATGTACAAATGTAACATGCTTTTGTAGTACTTCTGTAGATTGCTGAAACAATGATCAAGAATGGTAAGCTACTATCGACACGCCCAGTGGTTCAATCTGATGTTCAGGCTATGAAAGAAAAAAAGAGACTTAAGGTAATAAGCTTCTAAGCACTTTAATGACCCTTATGTGAATTGTGAACATGGTTTAAAACTCGTCTTTTGCTCCTGCCAGTTTGGAGAACTTGAGTTCGAAGTGACTGCTGAAAGTGCCAATATCGGTGCCGCAGTAGCGGCAATTTTTGGGTAACATTCAGACTCCCGCGAAATTTCTTATTCTGAAAGTATAATTTGGGTTTCACTAGATTGATATTGGTCGATTCTCAAGTATACATAGTTTATGGGACGCTTGGTATGATGTTGATGCTTCACTTCACGTGGCTACATAGTTTATGCCAACATGATTCGTGATTTGTCGTTGAAAGATTCTCCTAAGTTATCTGCAACTAGTTAATACCATTTATCAAATGGATAACCTAGCGGTGCCCTTGACTGTAGAGACACAGCACACTACATTTTTTTCTTCTATTTTCTTGTCACGGGGTAGAGGGTAGAAATAGAATTGCGCCCCTGGCGACTGGCGTGGAAACGAGATTCAAACCCTGGTCAGCCAGTCACATTCTTTGTCTAAAGAATTGACCTCGACATACTTTGCAATTTTACATTATCATTGGAATGCCCTACTGGCTGGTTTTGTGCATCTGTGATATTAGGAAGTAAATACATCTGATCTGACACTATTTCTTGATCCAGATTCATCTCATGGCAACTAGCACTAGGCATGCAAAATGTTCCTGACAGTACAACGCAATACGCAAATGACAATGCATTGCAGCTGGCCAAGGTAATAAAACATAGCTAACCTGAATATTTATAAAGTTCAGTCAACTTGTGAGTTACTATTGACCTTCCAGCTAACTTCTCCCATACCCTTTTCTTCCAAAAACAGTCGCTCAAGACCGCACTGCTTGTTCTTGTCTACACATCTACCGGCTTATCCTTATTCGCGGCTTTTGGGCTGCTGTTGCTAGCCCAACAGATTAACTCTGAGAACAAATTGGAGTAACTGACAGACACTTGCTGAAGTTGTGGACCTCATGCCATGCCTTTCTATGCTCCAATAAGGCAGTTCATAGCGAATTGGCATGTGAATAGCTATACTTTTGACACTGGAACCATGTGTGTAGCAGTGTATGCAATGTTCTGTACAAAAATAAAGAGCCAGTTGTCTGTGATTACGAATAATCGGTGAGATCCTGAAGCAAACATGGAAGTCAGCTTGGGACTGACTGAAGAATAATTTGTTAATGAACACAACAGGTCAACAGGGAACTGCTTGTACTCAAATTTGTGCTTTCAGAATGTGGTATGCTGTTACTCAAAACTGTAAAATTTTGTTTTTACCATCATAATTAATTATAATGAATGAGTAAGAGCATGATATATTCTGCATAGTTTTTAGCGAGGAAGAGCATGATCTTTCCTATGAATCTGCAAGCTCAAAAACAAGAAACCAGGAAACAAGAGTTGACGGTATATTTTTTTAATCCAGAGCTCAGCACCACGTATCTTTAATTATGTTCCGCGTGAATCTTTTGTTTTTATATCACTGAAAAAATAAAGAAAATTCTCTATACGAATCTCAGACTGATCTGCCATGGTGGCTAATCCCAATAATTTGGGAAGCCCAAGTCCAGAGCGGGCCCAGCCCAGTTCATCCTCCACCTGCTCAAATTTTTTTATTTATTTTTAACACTTTTTGTAAACTAATTTTAAATCTAACACTGTTTTTTTCTAAAACTAACACTTTTGACCGCGCCTATTGCCATGGCGCGGCGAAACACCTGTGCCGCGCGCATGCATGGTGGCGCGGCGGGAGGATGACGTGGCGAAGACCAGGGGCGCTGACCGATGACGTGGCAAGGTCTGCCGCGCCACCGATCTTGACGCGGCAGCGCCAACTCTCGATCGCTGGCCTGGCCTGCTTGCAGCGCGGCGCGCCTGCGCTTTGCCGTCTGGTGCAGCTCGCACCGCCGCCGCTCATTGCTCCCATCCTCATGTGCAGCTTGCGCAGCACGGGCGCCTCGGCTACACGTGTCGCGCGCCGCACCAAGCATGAACCACACTTTGCTGTGCGGGTTGGCCTGCTACACTGCACGCGCCTCCCCCTGCCGCCGTCGGCCCTCGGGGCCGCGTCGAAAGTTTCTTTCTTTCCTCGTGTCCCAAAAATATTGACGTTATAGCCTCCTACTCTAACCCAATCAGACATCAATCATCCATGTCCTATCACTTTTCGAATAGAAAAATGAAAAACAAGTCTAGCGTTGGATGATGCCATGATGGTGGAGCTGTGTAGGAGCGCTGGAGCGGTGACCAGGCACGGAAGCAAAGCAATGAGTGCGCACGTCATTCCAAATTTTCAGCAGATGTGATGGTTGCTTTGCAGGGCCCCGAGCGTGCTTCTGCTCCCCAACGCCACTTCTCGCGACACCCGCGGCCACGGCAGTGTCTCACTTCGCGTGTGAATTGAGAGGTCTGGTACCAGTGACGTGCCAGACAGATTGAAGGCGGTTGGCGGTACATGTTGCAGTTCAGCATTTCCAATCCGAAAACAAGCACTTCCAACTGTATATAGAAATGTATTAGTATTCATGATGAATATTTATTGTCATTGGATTAAACATATAATATATTTTCATACTAAACTTATTTAAAGATACATATATCGATACTAATTTCTATTGTTTTAAGTTTTGACTTTTTAATAATTGATACATGCATTATTTGGGACAGGAGTACGTGGGAAAAAAAATAGCACTCTAGGGTTACGTATGCAAAATGCAAAACGTCAGATTCGACAGGATTTAGGGGACCCACGGTAGTTACAACATCATATTTCTTTCGTTTCTAAATAAATCAATTTCTAAAGTTATCTTAAATAAAAAAATCTATGTTTAACTAAATGTATATAAAAAATACAAATGTTTATGACATTGAATGAGTATATTATAAAAATATAGTTTACAGTGTTTTTAATTATGCTAATGTGGTGTCATAAATCTAAGCGCTCTTTCCTATAAATATGATCAAACTTAAAATATTGACTTAAGATAACTATAAGGTCTGACTTAAGATAACTCAGGCGCCAAAGGGAGGGAGTACAACTTAAAATATTGACTAATTATCTTATATTTATCGATACAAATGTTTCTTTATGTTAATGAATAATTACTCGTTGCTATAAGTAGATGCATAACTGCTGTATTGCGCAAAACGGTTGATGGTGCATACACTCACATCCGATAAAAAACATAAATTACTACTCTCTCTTTTTTTTGCTAGGATCATAAATTACTACTCAACAAGTGAAAACAAGTCTTTTTATTACAATTATGTTAAATAATTTAAAGAACACTAAGAGAATGATATTGTGTTCAAATAAAAATTATGCAATCACAAAATTGTCGATGTTTTACCACCGGCAACCCGCCACGGGGGTACCCGGGGCGATGATTTGTTCGGAGGGGTATCGGCGTATGTAGGAACTCGGTGGTAAACACAGGGAGACAACGATTTATACTGGTTCGGTACGCCGAAAAATCACGGCGTCCTACATCCAGTGTGGAGTAGATAGTATGTTGCGCCCTGCGCTATGTCGTCCTCTTGATCTCTATCGAGATCTAGAGGTTTTTGTTGTGTATTGTATGGCGTGTTCTTGTGTAGGTGTCGATCTAGGGACCCCTGCCCTCCTTTATATAGTCCAGGAGAGGCGGGAGTCCTAGTCGGTTACAAAGTAGAGATCCTAGTATGATTATGTGTAACTAGTCCTAGTAGGATTACATGTAGAGAATCATATTTGGACTAGGTTTTCTTCTCTCTTCTCCGTGCGGAACCCTATGGGTCCCGCATCGACAAGCCCCCGAGCATTTCATGATTGAACTTCAAGGGGCGGGTTGTTGTAGACTTGTTCTGGGTTTTTTCTTGAAGCGAGATCTTGAGATGGTCTTCTTTGTCTTTTCTTCGGCTGATGTGTAGCCCCCGAACCTCTTTCTTGTTGGGACAAGAAGCCAGAGGGTCCCTTTAGTCTTCTTGGTTGCTCCGAGTTCTTTTTCGGTGGGTGCAATTTTTTCCTTGAAAAAATTGGAGGGTCCAGATTCTTGTCTTAAAAAAATTTCGGGGTTATGTATCCCGCAGCCCCCGAGCCATCTCCGAGTTCTTTTCTTTCAAAAAGAAATCGGATGAAGGGTCTTGATGTGTTGTCGTTTGTAGTCTTGAGTACTTGTATTCTTGGTCTTTCGCCCTTGAATTTGAGCCCCCAGGTGTAGTTGAAGCGCATGCTGAGCTACCGAGCTTAGCGTTTGACTAAGCCGTGATGTTCTTCTAGGTTGTTTTTGATTCATCCGGGTTGTTTCTAGACCTCTGGTTCTTGATGTACCTCTTCCAGATTGTTTGCACTTTGTCTAGATTTTTTCTGAACTTGTATGTACCTCATCCGCATTGTTTTCTGATCAATCCGGGTTCTTTCTGAATTTGTCTTGGTACTTGCAGCACCTCTTCGGGGTTGTTTTCTGATCGATCCGGGTTCTTTCTAAGCGCTTGTCTTGGTTCTTGCCGCACCTTGTCGGGGTTCTTTTTTGATCAAACCAGGTTATTTCTGGACTAGCTCTCGGGAGCATGTTTTTCCTGATCTCATGGTACAGATGTAGCTCCCCTGCATGTTAAACATAAAAATATGTTGTAAATAACATTCCGGATATGAAGTCGGGAGCATGTCCCTTATTTGAATAATCAATCAGGGGCGGGCCCCGGCATCATAAAATGCATATAAACTTTTTTTGCATCTTGCTCTTGCTAGGCCATGCAAATTCCTCAGGTAGTGTCCTATTATGTTTAAGCACTTGAATCTCTGGCGTATGGTTCAGGGGTTCATTGACGTGACCATGTGAGCCTGGCATTCGGTTCAGAGGTTCATTGACATGACCGTCCATGTGAGTAGACAAGCTTCACGGATTAAGGCATGTTCTACCTGAGGACTTTAGCGACCGTTAAGAGAAGACTTAGAGCACTATGTTTGCTCACATGATGATTTTACTTAGAGCTATATTTGCTCGCATGATGATTTTTTGTGTCTTCCCTTGCTAGGCCGGTTAATTTCCTGGGTAGTAGCCTGTTACGTTTAAGCACTTGAATCTCGCGTATGGTTCAGAGGTTCATTGACGTGACCACTCCATATGGTTCAGAGGTTCTTTGACGTGACCATCCATATGGTTCAGAGGTTCATTGACGTGACCATCCATTCGAGAAAACAAGCTTCACGAATTAAGGCTTACTATCTGAGTAAATTAACAGCCGTTAAGGGAAGATGATATGGCCACAGAGGCATACGAATAATATCCAGAATGTATTTAAAAATTAAAGCGTCACTTAGCTTGGTTCATGTCCGAGTTGTAGATCGCCGTAGCTGAGTTGCTGGGTACTTCGTACGAGTAGTTGGATACCACGTCTGAGCAGTTGGTTGTAGACACGTCGAGCATCAAGAACTCATCACCGACTAGTTTGTTGGTTCTGAGTAGTAGTCGAGGTAGTCATCGAGCATCACGGCGGAGTCGGCGGGTTGTTGTAGTGGTAGCCGGAATCCGTCGTCCTCGTGGAGTACTCGAAGAGTGTTGCGCTATTACCGGGTTGTCATAGTGGCCTGCTTGCTTCCAGTCGGATGGCTTGCTTGTTAGCTAGCTAGAACAGCTTGCGTGTTGGTTGACAGGAATGTACGCATCATGTACGAGCCTTGATATGGACGTGCGTGCACATACATAAATAGTGCACAAACGCCTTGGCCTTGCTTGCTTCTTTGGTAGTAGTCTCCATCGTCTTGCTTCTTGGTCATCCTCCGTATCCGAGTTGATCTGATTTTGTACCGTTCGTCTTTGAGGTCTTCATATCCGAGTTGTTGTAGTCCTAGTTGTCCTCCGATCCAGCTACATCCAGGAGCCCTCGAGGTGTTCGAGTTGGAGTCGAACTTAGTTGTCGTTTTGACTTTGTTGAGGTGGAATCCGGGGCTGGTTGTCT